CCACAAGCTAGGCCTCTCTGGTCTGCCATCCCCGCCCCAAGGGGGCTAATGGGAATGACAGTCTTATGAGCTAAAGGCTCGGGCTCAGGCACCTACCCTACCCTAGAAGGGTTAGGCATGGTATCGATCTATTGTTTCTATATTAATTGGCATTCTTCACTAGTGTTATTATCTATATATTGTCATAAAGTTTAATTATGTTATTCTTTTATAAGTTAAGTGAACATTGTAAGATGTGACATCTAGTGCAAGTGGTATTTATTTTTTGCAATGGGGAAAATGGGGGGGGGGGGGGATGTAAGTAATTATGACTGGATCATAACGACTTGTAACTGAATGTGTGTACACTGTATTTAGAAGACGGGAAGGAGTATGAGGATTGTCAATATTTGTATTAATTCTAAGTAAATTTCATAGAATTCTGTGTAATGACAATGCACACCTGTTAGTCGGGTGATAAGTATAACTGAAATATTCATGCATATTGTCATATATTTTGATTGATGAAATGTATAATCTTGTGTAATCTTGTATATAGCATTGATGTAAAGTGATAAAAAGCTTATGGGATGAGAGATATTTTGTGTCAGCACAAAGATAAACGTGTAGTGTGTATTTCAAAAATTAAAATTTATATTTTCTGTGGAGGAGCCGATAAGGGATTATTTTATTTATTAATGTATTGTAATGTGTTTTTAAATAAAATATAAAAAAAAATACTGATTTGGTTGTTAAGGTTGGTGAGAGCGGACAGCTGTTGTGTGTGTGTGTGTGTGTGGGGAGGGTCCGTGTGTGTGTGTGTGGGGAGGGTCCGTGTGTGTGTGTGTGGGGAGGGTCCGTGTGTGTGTGTGTGTGGGGAGGGTCCAAGTGTGTGTGTGTGTGGGGAGGGTCCAAGTGTGTGTGTGTGTGGGGAGGGTCCAAGTGTGTGTGTGTGTGGGGAGGGTCCGTGTGTGTGTGTGGGGAGGGTCCGTGTGTGTGTGTGGGGAGGGTCCGTGTGTGTGTGTGGGGAGGGTCCAAGTGTGTGTGTGTGTGGGGAGGGTCCGTGTGTGTGTGTGGGGAGGGTCCGTGTGTGTGTGTGGGGAGGGTCCGTGTGTGTGTGTGTGGGGAGGGTCCAAGTGTGTGTGTGTGTGGGGAGGGTCCAAGTGTGTGTGTGTGTGGGGAGGGTCCGTGTGTGTGTGTGGGGAGGGTCCGTGTGTGTGTGTGGGGAGGGTCCGTGTGTGTGTGTGGGGAGGGTCCAAGTGTGTGTGTGTGTGGGGAGGGTCCAAGTGTGTGTGTGTGTGGGGAGGGTCCGTGTGTGTGTGTGTGGGGAGGGTCCAAGTGTGTGTGTGTGTGGGGAGGGTCCAAGTGTGTGTGTGTGGGGAGGGTCCAAGTGTGTGTGTGGGGAGGGTCCAAGTGTGTGTGTGGGGAGGGTCCAAGTGTGTGTGTGGGGAGGGTCCAAGTGTGAGCTGTATCGTGTTAGCTTCAGCAATATGAACACCTCTGATTTTGTACCATAGGGGATTTAATGGTTAGGGTGTGGATTGTGTTGTTAGGAAGGATTAGCGCCATTATGAGTGGACTGGAGCTGTACCAGTAGACATTTTTGTTACATGTAACCATACGTGTCTACCTATATATGTATATGTATTTTGCGTATAATTTTAAATGAACAATGTACCATTATCACAACAGTAAGGTATTAACATAATGGTATGTTTAGGTATTACTTGTATATATAGTGTGAGATATTGCTTGGGTTGTTTTGAGTTTATATATATTGTGTTACTGATGTTTTCCATGTTAAGTTCATTATACATGTTTAAGTGAACGAGATTTTGATATTGTGTAAAACCAGGTGAAAGTGGAGAGTTTTGACTTGTGTGGGGCAGGAGTGTAAGCAATACTGACTTTGTACTATTATATTGTTTTATTAAAACCTTTGTACTTGTGTAGCACTGTACTTAGCAGTGCGTAGGTTGTTATAGGTTAGTTTTAGTGTCATTATGTATGATGTCTTTATTCAGTAGATTGTGTAGTGACAATGTTGATTTTTTGTTCATCACCAGTATTATTGTTACATATTAATATGTGTACCTATGTATATTTGCACATGAGGAAATAATAAAATAAAAGAAACATCTTACATGATAAAGTTTGAGAATACCGCTGCGCTCTGGGAGTAACACCTGGACTACCACATTATGTATGTTGTTTTCTGGTTCTGATTTAAATATCTATGTCACTTTATCTCACGATATTATCTCTGACTATAACGTGTTAAAAAAAAATACTCAAAGCTTTTCAAAAGACCCGGAATTCCCATAGAAAAGAATTCTGGTACGCAGCACTAAAATAAGGCCAGAATTTTCAACAATTCCAGATTACACTCTCTCTTGAGTGAAGAGTGGAAGCCTGAATAATTGGTAGTATAATTAACTGAATGTTTGTTGGGCATTGGGCACGTATCGTTACATCTCTACCCACCTCCCTGTTCTCCACACAGTGAGAGTTAACATGGGACCTTCCAGACACCTTCACATTACTTGACTTTCTCCTCCTATCAAGCTCATGCATATATTAGCTTCACTTTACGAAATTAATTTATGTATTTTGTTTTTCATTAATTGCTTCACTTAGGAAAATTTCATGTTTGATTGTTTTACATTTTATATAATTATTTTTGCATAGTTTAAATAAATTTTTTTATTTTCCTCTGTTATAGCTAATTATTCTATATTTTTTTACATGAGGAATTGTCCTTTCATATACCCTTCGGGGGTCTGAAAAACACTGTTATGCCTTACACCTATCTCTAGTACCCCAGGGAGGAAGGAGGAGCAGCTGTCAGCTTCACGGAGTCCCAAGAGTACAGAAAACACGGTGAACTTGCCCCTCTTTGTATGTTTGTTGCCATAGGCTTGGGGACTCTTGTCCCATGGGAAAAGTGGGCATTTGCGTTCCTTAAGAAACTTGACAAAAGACTAATCAGGGGAACTAGGGATCCCAGGGCGGCTAGTTTTCGGCATCAGCCACTCAGCGCTGCAGTTCAGAGGAGTAATGACTCCTGTGTCCTGGGTATGCGCCCCAGCTCCAAGGAGCTGTATGAGATTTTCAAGTAATCTGTGATAAACACGTAGCAATATGTACTTGAAATGTATCCCTCAAATCTCGTGAACTGTATATGCCATCTTTTCACCAGCAATGTATCCAGCCGGGATTAGATCCTGCGACACATTTTCCCATCTCAAGAGACAGAACAACGTTCACATCGTTCACATCGCCTTAACCACTTAACCAGCGATCCTTCGAAGACCATGCACCCAGCAGAGCTGGGTGTTGTTCATGATCTGAGGACCTCGGATCGTGAACAACACCTGGTTAACACAATGTGAACGTTGTTCTGTTTCTTATGGCAGTGCAAACTATCGCAGACAGGCGATCTTAACTACGCATGAGAAGCCACGGGAGTTGGGTATCTTTATCTTAAGTACTTTTACACTTCTCAGTGTGTCATCAAGAGTTATGCAATGTTGCAAAAGAGCAACTAAAGCAGGGAGGGAGTTCTCAAAGTAGTGCAGATATGTCACCGGCCCCGGTTACCCTTAGAATTCTAAGGGTAACCGTGGCTGGTGACGCATCTGCACTAAGCTATCTGAGAATTCTCTCCCTGCTTTAGTTGCTCTCTTGGAACATTGCACAACTCCTGATGACGCACTGAGAAGTGTGAAAGTACTTGAGCTAAAGTTTTCCACCCCCGTGGCTTGTCTTGCATAGTTAAGGTTGTTTGCGCATTATAATATATATATATATATATATATATATAATATATATATATATATATTATATATATATATTATATAATATATATATTATATATATATATATATAAATATTTACTGGGAAACATTTAGTGAATAATGATTAAAAAACAGCTGTAGTATAATGAATCAAAGGAAGTTAGATTAAGAATACTTAACTCATAATTTAGAGAATGATGAAGAATGACTTGATAAATAACATTAGCATAGCTACAAAATACTAAAGCAGAATGTGCAGCAGAACTTTCAAATTGAACAAATTAAGCCTAAAAAATATTTTTTTAATTTATTAGTTTAAGATCATATTTGCGCATGACTGATGCACCATGTAAGTAATGACTTGGAAGTAAATACTGTGATGTAGAGCAGCATGATAAGTACATTGATCTAGTGTTCTTCTTGTGTGTTGCTACTTAACTCTGGTACCAACTGTAGTAATAGCACTTGGTGCAGTAGTTTTGTACTTACATTACTTGCTCTGTAACATAAATACATGTTGAAGCATAATACTCCCTCACTCAACCCAACGATCGAAAGTACCAAGTTAGACTCAATTATGTTTTTTATATTACTGTTTTATTCAACAAAGTTCATTAGAAGCACAAACAATTTACCTCTTCACAGCACCTTGTTCCAATATCTGATTGCTACACCTGCTTGTCATAAATATAAGTAGCACTTAAATAGCCATGAATCTGTTCCGAGAGTTATTTAATGTTGTTCCTTAGAATATTATTATTTTTATTAGGAGAGTTAACCCAACAAGGGTCATGCAGCTCCTGGGAAATGGGAAGAAAGCAAGAAGGTAGTTCCAATTTCCTCAGTTAAGTGTCCTTCGCTAGCAACACGATTTCTTCCATAAAGAAGATGTACCTCATATAAACAGTAATCTCCTGCAGTAATGCGGGTCTAAGGATCTCATCCTTGTAAGTTCTTGTAGTTGTGTAACATTTGTTTGTAACTTGTCGATTATAATGATCAAGAAAATTATAATGGTAATGAATAACAACAAAGAAAATGAGCATTGCAGTGTACATTGAAATGAAAATGCTTCTGCTTAAACTATCTTAAACAGCAGTTTAAAGTAATGTGATTGGATTTACTTTCCCAAATGAAGAAATGATCAACATCTGAACTCATACAAATGAATATGTCTGAATTCATGTTACAATATAGAGAAAGTACTTGCAAAATGATACGAACCCTTGGACGGTGGTGGGTGTTGAAAAGTCACTCAGCGTTGAATTGGTCTGTAGGTACTCCCTCGTCACTGTCTTATTTATGAAAGAGTCTGTAGCTGAAAAGTTACTGAAGGAGATAACAGTGAAGTTGTCAAGAGAAGCCAGGTTTACAGGACAACCCGAGGTAGATAATGGCAGGTACCGTGGCGCTGATCCATACATATAATTGCCTGCAACTACCCACGCACTCAAAACAAATGCGGTGAGTCCTCCAGCCATGGCGCCCTGTGTTACCATAAATATAAGAACAACTTCCTGAGAATAAATATTTTCTACAGAAATATATTGCAATAACACTCTCAGGAATCAGAAAATATCATGACTATTACTAATGATAGTAATCACACTACGTTCCCTTACCTTGGCGTTGACCCACGGGGTCAAGATGCCAGCAAGAAAAATGCCATTTAGCGGACCACATATGATCCCACTGAACATAACCACCACTTGCAGCACACCTCCCAACTTTTCCATCAGTATTCCTACGCCGGTGCCAATTAGCCCAATTATCAGCGCTGGAGAAACGAAACATGAATATTAGATGTATAATTTGCACCTGGTAAATGTTGATGCACTGCTTATTTAGGAATATGTAAGAATACGTTAAAAATTTTAAGCTGATCAGTATAGGCATTCTTTAATTAATTTTTGAATGGAGATCAATATCCCAATTTATTAAATAAAACAAAAAATTTGTGACTTATGTATCCCAATAACAATGTGAATCTTTCTTTTGGAAAACACAACAAGGTTATAAAATCAGAGCTGATCAAAAGAGACATACAATAATTATCACAATGATTACAACGATGCCAAGTTTTTTGTACTAATTTAGTAAAAATGCACCAGCAGAGAATGCAGTCACAAAAAATCCTAGAAAACAAAAACTTCAATCTGTGCAGATTCTATGCCTTGGGTCCTCTTCAAGGGGGCTCCTTGTTGTGGTGAAGAGGCTCTTGGTCTGAGGAATTAGACCTGTCGGTCTCCTTCCTCAGACCGAACCTAATTACCCCCCAATCCCCCCTTTCCTATCCCATCCTCCCCAACCTCCCCTTTTTCCTTTCCTCCTCTTCCTCCCCACCCCTCCCTTTTGCCCTTCCTTTTGGCCTTTGGGATTTTTTCCCACAGGCACGCTAGTTCCTAGGTAGGGGAAAGGGTACCGGGGTCCATCCCTTTCCGTTGAGGTTCTTGGCGGTGGCATAGTTTGCTGTGGAATCGGGAATTGCCTGGGGGGATGTCCCGATCCCTCTTCCGGTATCCCGGAGGGTGGTTTTGGGTGTCTCTCGGGCGACGGTTGTATCTCTGGAAGCCTCCTTTCGGATTCCGGGGGGTGGTGGCTGAGGGAGGTATGCTTTCTGGTGGTATCCGCCGCCTCTCTTTTTTCTCACCGAGGTAGCTGGCAGGCTGTGAGGTTGCTATTCCCGGATGCTGGTTTACTGGATGATGGGCGGGTTATGGCACGGGTTCCATGCTGCATCTGCGCTACTTGTGGTGCTGAGGTCCTCTTGGGTGCAGAGCGGAGATTTCTGGCCCTTTCATCCTCTAGGAACTATCTCCCGGTCCCTCCTTTTTTTTATTCTTTTTTTATTTTTATTTTCTTTTACTTCTTTCTTTTTTTTTCTTAAAACAAAAGAAAGAAGTAACCTAACCATGGCAACAGTCTAGTCCTGCCCTGCTACCCCAAGCACTTCTTGATACGCACTCGTTCGGACCCCGCCTTCATCCTTGGACTCATCTTGGGGACCATACTCATGCCTCTGTACTTCTTGCCGGTGTGTTTTCCTACCTGCTTCGGTACTGAGGTCTGACTGACTCCTTTGATTTCTCTGACCTCCGCTCTCTTTGACTATGCTTTCCGGCCTCTCCTCTTGGTGCGGCAATTTTTGAAATCGCGGGCTAATTCCACGTCGGACCAACTTGTGTCCACGCATAAAAACACCAACGACAGATACCTGCTGATGATATTCTCCACATTTCTCTTCTTCTCAGAAAAGATCGAACCGTCCTCAATCCTTTCCATGCTCAGTTTCAGAAAGCCACCTCCCAGGTTTCTGCCTCTTCTTTCCCCTTCCACGCTTCTTCTCCAGTTCCTCACCCTATCGCCCCCTACCTTGGTATCAAGCCATTACAGTTCCAATTCTTTTAACTCAGCCTCCCTTCCATCTCCAATTTTTCTCCCATACGACGTCTCTGATTCTGAAAACACTTGAAGAAGTCTTGAAGATATTGGCAGAGAACCAAACCTTCAATGGACACTGATCCCCCTCTGTTTCATTCTCTATCTCTCTTCCATCTGTGCAATGCTTTCTTCACAGACACCGTTCCTTTGCTGCTTGAAACGGTTTTGCGCTGCCTCTGCATGTGGACTTTTCTAACCCTCTTAGTCCATAGGGAACCTTACCTGCGGATTTCAGTATCTTTTCATTGCCTATCATGGCATATTTACAGTGGAATCCACGCGGCCTGTCCTCAGGGGTATCGGTTTGTGAGCTTCAGTGTTATTCTCGAAGTTTTCCCACTGTTGGTTGTTTGCTTCAGGAACCAAAAATATCACTTGTGTTATCTATTCCATCTCAGGCTTAATTTATTGTATTCTTCAGAATCTTGGTGATGGACCTTTAATGAAAGTGCCCTTCTTTATGCACTGATATTCCGTACCTCAGCTATTTGTTCGTACTTCGCTGCTTTCACGGCAGCGTATCCACTTGCATAGGTGGTATACATCTGTTCTTTTTTTCTTCCTTTCGGGCTTTAGCTATTAGGATATTGGCCTTTCTTTGTTTCGTCATTACCGCCACCACTTCTGTTACTTGGCGGTTGTTATGCCATCATATCTCTGGGGGGTTCTCACTGTTGATTCCCGTGGATTTCAGTTAGCAGGCTTTTCTTGCTACCACCCTCATGTTTTAAATATCCCCCAGGTACTCACACCCATTTTGATCCTCGGATCACTCTCTCTTGCATCAATCTCTCTGGCTGTCTTCCTCCCGCATTAGACTTCACTGGTCTGTTCTCCGGAGTTACATGGTCAGTGATTCAGTTCGCAATCATTCTTTACTTCCCCTTCATATCACACCTCTTCGTATCCCATGCTGGCAATTGATCAGGCAAATTGGGAACCTTACTCAAATAACTGTTTTTAGTGAGGTTCCTTCTTCTTCCCTCCATTGATGAGCTTTTACTCTCTTCTCGTCCTCTGTTTTAACCGCAGCTTTTTTCTTTACCGAACTTCGGGCAGGGCATTCTCAGAAATGCATGCCTTGGTGGTCTCCGGCTTGTGCTCGTGCAGTACGTTTGAAAGCGCTGCATGGGGGCAGGTACTGGTACAATAGAACACGGAATTACTTCTTGATTTTAAGCAGAAGTGTGCAATCGCTCGCTGTGTCATCGTGATAGCTAAAGCACTTGCTGGGAGATTTATGTCTCCACTATCACTCTGGCTTCCTCTATGGTGCAGTCTGGAAAAAGGACGAAAATGAGTGGGAAAATATTTGACCGGCTTGTTCGGCGGGTTTGAGGTGTTTGTTTTAGCAATACCCACTAGATGTTGCTAATGAAATGGCATCATCTGGTCCTATTTCTCAGGGGTCCATCGTATGCCCCGCGTTTCTTTCGCAAAGTCTGCCAGAGAGTTGCAACTTGGACTTTTCTTTTCAGAGGAAGAAAGGTATAATGTGCCTTTTACCATCTTCAAGAAACTGGAGGCAACACTCTCAGCGTGCGATCACGGCAGCAGGGCCCGACGGACATTCATATTCGCATGCTAAACATTTTCATCAGTCACCCCTTGCAGTCTAATACTCCTTTTCAATCTTATTTTGGTCCAAAGGGAGTTCTTACACTGCTGTGGGAATTATGACCATTGTTCTCCCTTTCCGCAAACAGGGCACTCGGGACATGAAGCCTCCCACTATCGTCCCATTGCTCTACAGTGCAGTTGCAAAGTGATGGATACCACCTGGGGTAAATAGGTCGTTTAGTGTGCATTTAGAGGACACCACAACAGTCTCTCACTTGTCAATATGGCTTTCGTAAGGGACGTTCTACCATAGACCCCTTACTCGCTTGGTTACGTATGTTCGTTACATGCCTTTGCGAAATAACACTCAGTTATTGGCCATATTTGTTGAACCTGAGAAGGCATTATGAATAACTTGGAGGTATAATATTTTGGCCTAGCCCATCTTAGACCCGAGGCATTCTCACATCAGACCGTGTTTCCAATTGGGCACACCATGAGTTTAAAATTTGCCAGCACAAAATCCCCAAAAGACTTTCACTAGACACTCAGTCATCTCAGTATCTTTGTACCTCTATGGCTCCGTAAAACCTGAACGTTATACAGTCAGGTTTTGGGCTCCTCTTTGACGTCGTTATCTGGAAACCACACATTACCTCTCTGAAGGCAACTTGTCACAGCTGGCTGAACATTCTAAAACCCTTGCTCATTCTGTCATGGGGAAGCTGATCGTTCGAACTCCCCTTCGCTTCATTCCACCTCATTTTATCGAAACTTGATGATGGTGACCAGATCAGTCAGCGGCTATCCTGCTACTTCTTAGCCTTAACCCATTATCACCATGGATTACGTTTATGCCTTGGTGCTTTCGCTCTTCCCTGTTGAGGCCCTCTATGCAGAAGTGAACGTTCCATCCTTATCCGTTGCCGTGATGCCCGTTGCTTCGATACTAATGTACATCTCATGATCTCCGCAATCCTTCCATTTATAGAATGGTCACTGATATTATAGACATTCTTTATTTGTTCGCCGGCCTGTTTACTCCGTCCTTTCTCTTCACCTTCATTCGCTCTAGTCTTCTCTTCATTTACACTTCTATTGTTCATGTGCATTCACTTTTCCCTACCCCCTGGAAGTTCCAGCTGTTCGGTCTGTCTTTCTCTCTCCCTTGCTCGAAAGCCCACTGTCTACTGTCGCTTCCCGCTCTCTTTTTCTTGACCACTTCCACTGTCATTCTCATGCCATTGCTGCATACACAGATGGCTCTGTGTTTTCTTGATGGCATAGGATTCGCAGCAGTGTTTCCGGACAGCGTCGTACGGGGGATTTACTATCATCGGTAGTATTTTTACTGCTGAATTGTATGCCATTCTTGCAGCCATATCTTATTGCATCTATTGCTGTGTCATCATTTGTGGTTGGCTCCGACTCCTTAGTGCTTCATGGCTATACAGAAATTTGTACTCTCACCTTAGTCCTCTGTATCCAACTTTGGCTACGCTGTCTGATCTTTACCAAGCATAGAGATATTGTTTTTTGTTGGGTCCCAGCTTATGTTGACGTACAGGGCAATGAACAGGCCGACACTGCTGCGCGTGTCAGCAGTAATGACCTACAGTATTTTCATATAGAGGTATCCATTTCCGGACTATTTTGCTGCAATAGCTACCACCTTCACCTGTTCGGCAACAACTTTTAGTCTACTATGTCGGGTAACAAACTTCAATATATTAAACCGACATACAGGTTATGGCGTTTCTTCTTGTCA